CTCCCTCCGCTCCAAAAACGTTCTGCAACCAATGCTGCTGAGCAGCTCGTAGCCTCAGTGCATCCCCAGGGCTGCAGAAAATACCTTGTTCAACGACAAGCTCTTTGTCGCTGCCCATATGTCACCCTCCTGCTCGGGAAAGCACACGAGGATGAAAAGAATACATTATGTCTTATGCAAGCAGCACAGAGACCTGCTAGGGCATAGATATTAATGCATCCACCTACATTTTTTAATATTTATTCTTGTGGCCTGCACATTGCCAGAGGACTTGCAGAGCTGTGGCTGGTTGAGGGAGCAGAGCTCAGGCTGTAGCTGCAGGTCCTACTCCTGTCCCAAGGACCCACAGGACCAGCTGCTGACGACACACGAGCTGGGAGGTCTGGAAATGCATCTCACACGTCCACCCAAGGCCATAGCTCTGCACCAAAATGCTGTAGTTTTTCCATGACTGCAATACAACCAGACAGCTCTCTGCTGCTCCTGCTGCAGGCAATGCTCCAGTATGCTCAGGGGACACATCAGCAAGGGGGCAATGCACCACCATGGGAGTGCATGCACTGACACGGGGCCAACACACCAACATAGGGTGGCAATGCTTTCAGACTGCTACTGGAGCCCCTCCATCCCTGCTCAGCCTCCTCCCAAGCTCTCAAGGCATTGCTCATACTGCAGAGTGGGCAGATAGTTCCTGCAAAGGATGCATGGAGCTACTCAGTGTTTGGCCCCCAGCACCTGGGATGTGCTGCATCACATCACCCCTGCAGCGCAACCCTCCTGGGTTGCTTTCATCTCCAATTTTCTCAATCTATCCTATGCATTTCTGTGGTGCAACTGCCCCAGCCCTGAGCCAAGAGGCAGCACGGTTTGGGCATGCCCACGCATGGATATCCCTGCAGATCCTGATGCTGCTGTGTGATGATCTGGGGTTCATCCTTCCCAAACAAGGGCCAAAATCCACACTGCTATCACTTAATCCTGTTAAGCTAATGACCACAGGTTTAATGCAGGACTTCAACCCCTGCTGTAACCCTAGTCCATCCGTGCCTTCCAACTCTTATCAGGCAGGTCCCAGCCTTGTGACACCTCCTGCAAAGGCAGCAGCACCAGCTGAGGGTTGGAGAGGCTGCAAGGGCTCAAGAAGAGGCTGTTCGCAAGCACAAGGTGCAGGAATTTGGCATGGAGCACAAAAGCTTTGCTGGCCAGCAGCCCTTGGCCGGACACTACAAAATAACCTTGGACTTTTGGTCCCTCGGAGCCACCTTTTGCATGATTTCTTACAGAGGCTCCAGCAGAGCAATCTGGAGTTAACAGAAGGAGAAGCTCCAAGTGGTTAATGCAGCACTGACCGCAGTTATCTGTGCACTAAGCTATAACAACCCTGGCTGGCCAAGGCCAGATATTTCCTCTAATTTTCAGAGCCCCAGTGCTTCTCCCCAGCTCAGGGCTCTCACCCCATCCCTGAAGGCAGGACCCAGCTTTGGGGAACTGGAGCCTGGCACAGCCACACGTCTGGGGACATCCAAAAGCAGATGGCCCCTGAAACGATGGCTGCACCAGAGCAGCACAGTGAGCAGGCGAGGGGACAGAGCCAGGCATTGCCTGGAGCACACAGTTTTAGGGCAAATTAACTGGGTCCTGCTGGGACTCCAGGATGCTGCACAGACCAGAAATAAAGCCCTGGGCACTGAGGCTTGAACCGGATGAATAAAACAGTCACCATCCCCCGTCACACCTTGCCTAGCACCAAAAGCACTGTTTCTTCACCAACAACCACAAAAAGCACTTCTGTACAACAGGGCAGCCACTAAGCAAGACACTGATTAACTGGCTTCCTATGAACCATGTCCTGCAGCAGCAAGCACAAAAACCACCTATGATCCTTGCTCTGGACCCCCCCAACAGTCCTTTAGGTGCTGTAATGTGGCTTCTCTGCCCTGAAGTGCAATGTCAGTGACACAGATGATAAACCCAAGGAGAGAATTTACTTCTATTTAGCTTCCTCCGGAGCTGGCACATGGCAGCATGCTCATGTAACAGCTTGTCCAAAGCAAACAGCGGAAAAAAAGCAAATAGCTGCACCTTACTGAGAGCTATGATCAGAGGTTATGTCAGAGGTGGCATCTGAAAGGACAATCAGCTGTGCCAAGTCGAGGCTGGTTTACTTCTGAGCAGTTTTATCCACGTTTCTCAGTGCTGTCTCCTTTGGGAACTCAAGTTTACTTTGGAAGACTTTGGCTAACTCAGCTCACAGCTCCCTCCTCCTGCAGCATCCCCAGAGCTCTCCTACACAAAGAGCTGCAAACAAAACCCAGGGAAGCCTGTGGGTGCACACAGCTCAGCACTGCACACCTGATGCCCACAGGAGCATTCCCCACCCACGGCCGTACTTCCACACCTTGCAAATCCGCCTGGTTTGCCCTCAGGTGTTTTGCAGCCCAGCCAAAAGTTAGCCAGACTTTCTGAATTTTCAGTCTCTTTTCCAAAGGAAATATTTTTGTGCTTTTTATTTATAGAAGGAAATCTGGGTCTTTTTAACTGCGTGACCAGAAGCAGGGTGGTGAGCAACGCCCCGCGGCTCACACAGCTCTCAGCATTCATTCACCCTCCCTTCCCCTCCCTTCTTGTCACACCTCTAAAAAGGGAAAGTGCGCTTATTTCCCCCCCTCCTGTTTTGCATGGATGCCACTCCGCGGCTCTTCTGAGTCAGCTTCCTCCTGGGCAGGTCCCACGCACAGCAGCAGGGCACAGGAGCTGCTGCAAGCTGTTATTGCCCAACTACAGCCACCCCACTGGCTGCTGGCCCCTGAAGTTTGTGGGATCTGATAGCGCGGGCACAGCAAATGCTATCAGCTCTCCAAAAGGCTTAGGATGCAAAACACAGGATGGGCTGAGGCTTGCTGTCCCCCGACACTCTCTGACTGTGGAAGTAGTTTAATGAGTGGGAGCATACATGGGCACCTTGCAGCATTTCCCCAGCCCTCCTGCAGTGGATGGCACAGCTGCAGCACCCCGCTTCCCAACGGGATCCTCATGAACACATGCATCCCTTGCACAACTTCAAGCGTCTGCCTTCAGTCATATTGCAATGCTCCCATACCATGGCTTGGTTGGAAGGCACCTTAAAGATCACACAGGTTGTGTTTTCACTCAGACGGTGGTGAGGCACTGGAACAGGTTGCCCAAGGAGGCTGTGGATGCCCCATCCCTGCAGGCATTCAAGGCCAGGCTGGATGTGGCTCTGGGCAGCCTGGGCTGCTGGTTGGCGACCTGCACACAGCAGGGGGTTGGAACTGGATGAGCGTTGGGCTCCTTTGCAACCCAGGCCATTCTAGGATTCTATGATCATACAGTTCCAATACCAAATTTTGCTCTTGCCAAATCCAACAAACTCAATACTTTTGCGTGGGTTATTCCAGGGGTTGGACTCGATGATCCTCACGGGTCCCTTCCAACTCGGGATACCTTAGGATTCTATTTGCACCGCTGCCTCCGCTGCCTCCCCAGCTGCGCCCAGAGCTGGGACAGTCACCCCATCGTATCAGTTACCCCGTCAACTCAAGATGCAGAGGGGAGACGATAAACGAAACCCAGCGACGCCACCACCCGCAATCCAGAGGCGGCCCCGGCTCGGCGGCGGAGCGCGGAGACACCGCAGCTCAGCGGGACGGACAAAACCCGGACGGTTCCCCCGGCCCCCTCCCGCCCCGTCGGTGCGCACCGACCCCCGGCCACTCACCGCCGCCGCCGCGGAGGCTCTCCCGCAGGAATTGGCCGCTGGAGAGGTGCTGGAGCCCGAAGCTGCGGGCGATCCTCTCGCATACCGTCCCCTTCCCCGAGCCGGGGGGACCCAACACCACCGCCCGCAGCACTTTGGAGGCCATGGCCGCCTACCGGAGCCGGGCGGGGGGTCCCCGCGGGGCGGCACGGCGCGTTACGCGGCGGCAGCGCGGAGCCCCGGAGCGGGGGGAGCCCGCAGCTGCGGGAGGAGGAGGAGGAGAAGCCGCCGCAACGGGGGGCAGGGCCCCGACGGCACCCGCATCCCCCTCACAGCGGAGCGCGGAGGGGCTGCCGGCCGCACCGTGTCGCTTCCCCCTCCCCGCACACGGTACACATCAGCACGGGAGGAGGGCGGGAGGGATGAAAGGAACGGGGGGGGGGGGGGAGGCTGTCCGCCCGCCTGCCCGCCCCCTCGGGCCGCGGCACCCTGGGACTCGTAGTCCCGCCGCCCGACGGGTCCCGCACCGATGGGCGGCGCGGGGAGGCGGAGCGAGGCTCGGAACGAGCGGGACCCCGCGCTGACGGTACGGCCCCCCCCACCCGCACATACACAGCGGCACGGGGCACCCGCGCGCGCGTACGTCTGTGTACGTGCGCGTCCGTGTGCCCGTACGCCCGTGTGTCTGTGCGTCCCCGCGCGTCCCCGCCCCGCCGCCCGCCCCCGCGCCGCTCCGGAAGCGGCCGTCACATGGCCGCGCGGCGCTGCCATCAACACGCCAAGATGGCGGCCCTCACGCCGCCCGCCCGCCCGTGCTGCGTCACGCCGCCCCCGGCCCCGCCGCGCGCCCGCAGGTGGGTCCGGCCCGGCCCCGCTGCCTGGCCCCGAGGGGACAACGCGGGGGAGGGGGAGCCGCCCGTGCGGCGGGGCCGGGCGCGGCGCTCCCGCGTTGCGCACTGTTGTTTTCCGAGCGGCGGTGTTTACGCGGGCGGGGCCTGCCGCGGGGTGCGGCCCGGCGAGGGGCCGGGGGCTCCGGGGGGATTCGGGCGTCCCGCCGCCCGCCCCGGGGCTCGGGAAACGCGCTGTGGAGAGCGGCTTCGAGGGAAAGTTGTGAGTTGCCGCGGCTCCTCGCAGGGTCGGGGCTGTGTGCTCGCTGCCTTCTAACTGCCGTTTTCCGCCCTCAGGTTTCCTCGCGGTTTGGCTGAAGTCGGGTTGCGGGACACTTTGGTTCCGTCCCAGCGCACCGCAGCTCAGGTAGAGACTCGCGTGTGGGGAGGGTGGTGTGAGCCCACCGAGCTTCGGTGGGGCGCCGCAGGACCCCCAGAGCTGCGAGTGGGGCCGGGCTGCGGGGCTGTCAGCAGGGAAAGGTGAAACGGCGCTGGGAACGAGCGCCTTTAAAAGCGTATGGAAACGTGAAGCGCTTGAAGAAAATCCGTGGATGAAGACGTGTGCTGGGCTCTGAACTGGTGAGGTTGTTATTTTGAAAGAAGGGAGGGCCCTCTAGATAATGACAGGGAGCTTAGCAGTGTGTTTGTGCACACCTGTTTGCTTCCAGCCTGTGTACGTGCAGCCTGACAGAGGCAATGTGGAGATCGGTGCGTGCTGCCGGCTGGGTTTCTGTTGGAATAAGGGTGAGCTCCTCTCTGGAGCAAATGGCATCGGCAGTGAGCGTTGGTGCAATTGGAGTGGGATGGTCTTTGTGCCGGGGTGCTGGGGAGGGGCAGCTCACCTTTGCTGCCGTGCTTCTCCTCCCTTCGCACGGCATAACAGCAGCTGCTGGAGCATGGGATGGAATCTTGGAGCTGATCAATTGTACAACAGCAGTTCTTCTCCGATCGCTTTGGCTTCTGAAATGTAGGATCCCTCTTTCTACTTTCTTTCTGTTCAGCTGAAATCGGTAGACTTTTACTGCTGGAATAATAATGGTAACGTGAAAACATTTCAGAGTGAGAACAAATTGTTCGTTTCTTGCTTCCCTTTCAGAAGTCGTGGCTGTATGTACAGGATTTCATAAGGTTGGTTTTTGAACAAAGTTTTGTTTGTTTTTCCTGCAGCAGCAGATGATGTAATGAATTACAGTGGATGGTAAAGCTGCACGTTTTAGACTATATGTTTAAGTCATCCATTTCATCATCTGACATCAGCATTGCATAATCTGTTGACTGTCCCCTTTTTATGTAATGTATGTTTGTAGTTTGTTTTAAAATGTACAAATATTTTTTTCCACTGCGTGCTTCTGCTCAGCTATTTCATATTTGTCTCTCCGTTGCCCTCTTCAGTTAGAAACTCGTAAGGCACCATTTTGATAGCTGGGCCCATCCGAGCGCTCCGTCTTTCTCTTTTAGAAACAATCTCCGTGACATCTCTGGATGAGCCCTTTCCAGGTAAGTGGGCTGGTCACAGCGCTGACCCACACCTGGAGTTCCTGCCCCCTCCTGTTTGAAACAGAGGGGCATCTTGTACTGATTAAGTCCATCAGCATCATAAAGGTAGCTTTTGTAATATGCTAGAAGTAAATTAATTATTAATACAGGTAGACAAAAGTTTAACTTGCCTGCAGTATACCTGTTTATTTCACCATTTTATGTTTGGATCGTACCACCTAAAAACGCCAGCTGCGTAGTGAAGCCTCTAGAGACTGTGGGCACCTCTTCTGCCTATTCCAGCTGCAGTCTCAGCACAGCTGGCTGCTTGCCGTTCGGTGCTGCTCCATCAGACCCATCAGCAGGCATAGGAGCAGATATTTGCCATCCCAGCTCTCTGAGCACATGTGACCAGCTCTGATTAAGCCCAGCTGAATGTGTTCGCAGTGCTGTAAAATTCCACCGCCCGCCAGCCTGCTCTGCTGCCTGGGTGAGAGCCCGGCCCGCTCGGTGCAGTATGCAGCGTGGTCACAGTGTGGTGCTACCCTCGTACTCGTGAGCAGTCCCAGCCCTTAGCTGTTGCACGCTGTGTGGCACCATTAACTCACCTGGCCCTTGGCCAGGTGTACATGCTGTCTAGTTCATGGCATTCAGCACTTGAGTAACAGAAAACAAATGCTGCCTTCAAGCTGCAATGAATTTAAGGAGGAGAGGGGAATGCCTTCACTCTCTCCAGCTTTATTTATAAAGAGATAAATTAACATTTCTCCCTTCAGTCTAGCATTGATGAGTTGGATTTTTAAGAGTGATTCAGCCAGAAGTTACCAGGGCTGTTATGGTAGCACTGTGATCACGATAATTTCCTGCGCTGAAGCCCCAGATGCAAAGCACTTCTCTTAGATGTTCCTGAGCCTCTCACCTGGAAGCTAGGAAACCCATCAGGGTGATCCGAGGTTCTGAGACTTGCAAGGGATGGGGAATGGAGGAAGCACCTGCTGAGCCTGGCAGCATTGTGGAGGGGCCACGATGACTGACAGGCTGCCCTGGCTCAGTTATCACAGTGCTGATGCTGTCTCTTGTAAAGGTACAGTACTGTGATAACTGAAGGATGGCAGCCATCTGAGCTTCAGAGGCCCTTGTCTGCAGCTGATGGATGGACATTCAGCACAGCATTCCGCTGAGGTGGGTGTCTTCATTCTAAACATACCCCTAATGTAAAAGTCAAGGTTTACTTGAATAAAGATTACACTTTATTGACAGCTTGCTTCTTAATCAACTGTTTTGGTGTGAGATCTTCCAGAAATGCTACGCTTGAGAAGCTTCAGAAATGGTTCTGAAAGGTTGAGAAATGATTCTGGAAGGGTCCTGTGCAGAGTGGGGAGTGCTGGAGTGGGGAGGTGAGAAAACATGAGTTGTATACTTAGTAGTGGAGGACAGGGGAACTACTCTGTAGATGTACACAAACTCCTTTTTAGATGCATTTTAATGCTGCTTGTTATAGATAGCATGGTTTTGGCTGACTAGTGCCCTAACTTGCTGTCTGTGCCCTCTGTTACGTGGTTGTATGCTCTGGGACAGGGCTCACGTCACAGTCTCTCATCAGTCTGGGACCGCACGGCTGCAAGCAGCTAGCAGTTGGGTTGTTACAGGCTGGGGTGTCCCTGCCTCAGTGACTGGGACTACGAATCCCTCAGGTAACTTCTGTCATAGTTCCACCTCTAGGAAAAGCTCTGGGGTCCTTGGCAGTGCTGCAACCTCCCCTCCTCACCCTCTGGGCAGCAGCAAGCCTGGAGGAGCTGCAGCACTCTGCAGAGCTTGCTGTTTAGTCTTGAACTGGAGTTAGAACCAAGTTCTTTAACCCCGCAGGATTTAGAGAGCTCCTCCTTCAGGGCTGGGTGATTCATAGCTGCCCAGGCCTTGCCCTGTACTTCCCTGCTGGGGAGGACGAGGGTTGCCTCAGCCCACGGCCACTCAAACAGCAATTACGTAGTTCATGTTTTCTCTGATCCCTACTGGAAGGTAGCTCTGCCAGGCCGTGCTGCTGGCTGTCTGTGAGCCAGCAGAGTCAATGCTGTGCCACTGCCATGGAGCATCGTGCCAGCCTGCATTGTCTGAGCAGGGAAAATTATTGGTGCCGATAGCTGCTGGAATCTGCTTGTGGAGGAGGGCTGTGTTGTACCAATGCTGTGCAAATGATAAAAAGACATCCTGCTACCAGGAGTTAAAAGTTCTAGATAGATTAACATCTAAGCAGAGCCAACCCTCGGCTTCCTTTCTGCCTCCTCCCAGAGCCCGAGAGGAGGAACCCCTGGCCCCAAAATGCAAAGCTGGTCACCTCCCCAGCGGCACGATGCCCTCGTTGCCCTTTTATGTCATGCTGCGCTCACTGCAGCGTGGAGCAGCTGGCTGGGGCTGGTCCTCTTCCCTGTGAGAAGCAAGAGGAGTGCCTAGAGGCAGACGCAAGTTTTGCTGCCTACCTGGTTTGAGGAATCAGGTTCCCTACCTGCCTTGGGATAGGATTCTGGGGTGATAAGTTACCTGGGCTGTTTAGTGAGACGTTGTAACTGCAGCATGCACCCAGTGTTGGTGAAAGAGAGCAAAGCTGCCAGTTGAAATGACATGCCTCTGGGCTTCAGATTGTGATTCTCATTTCCTGTCAAAATAACTACGGCTTTGAGTTCTGACATGGGACAGGAACTGAAAATGCTGTCTGTGCCTCAAAACAACACCTCTGTGATCAGATTTAATGGGAGCCTTTATCTCTCTCTAGCTTAGCAGACACAGTCCTTCTTTCCTGTAGCTTCCTACTGATATCGTAATCGGACAGACATAAATACCCGTGGGTTTGCCATGTCTAAATATTGCTACATGCAAACAGTGCAGCTCTCAAGTCCTTTTTGGCACTGAAACGCTTCCTCCCACTAACTGTTAAAGCAAGATGTAAACAACGTGCATATAGTGACATGTCACACCAGTTTCTGCTCAAAATAAGCCCTCTGAAGACGGTCCATTTTCTGATAAAATGTTTTGTGATGTACGGTTCTGATCCCAAGGAAAGCCCATTTTCTTGTGACATGTCAGCTGTCGTTCTGAATGGATTTGTTCCACCCCAGTGGTTCTCAGGCTCTTTTAGCAGGAAAGTCCCTGTTCCCATCTGGAGGCTGTCGCTCTCCCACCCACGTTCTGCCTGAGAAGAGCAGCAGTTCTGCTCCTGTGATATCTCCTCCAGGCTGTGATTCTGCAGACCAGAACAGCGCCGCTGCCCCTGGCTCTCGTCCATCAGCCATCCTTTTAAGGGGAGAAGCAAGCTGCTACCTGCTTCTCACGGCAGTGGGATGAAAGGCATCCATTGTCTGCTAGCACTGAACCTTGGAACCAGGTGGAGCTTTGCTTTTCCCATTTTTTTACAGATCTTCATTTGTTACTGTGACTTCTCTTACCATCCAGTGGGAAGCATCAGTACCAAAAGATTTCATTTTGTTTATACTAAGAAAAGAATCCTTCCCAACAAAGTTTCAAGCACGCCGTTGTTGTTCCAAAGTCCAGCAGTGTCACCTACAAATCAGACACTGTTCTAGTTACTGTTCATTCAGACTGCCTCTGAGTAGTGCAGACCAACTCCACTTGAACTTTAGCCCAGGCCTTCTTGATGAAACATTTTCTAAATCAAGTAGCCTAATGATAATGTCTTGGTAACTGCAAGTCTCAGATGTACCGGAGTGTAACGATGACAAACTTGGTTTTAGGTCAGGTCAAGCAGTTTCTGAATGTGAGTTTAGAAATGTTGGGCAAAGCAGAATAAATAAAACAAGCTGGTGAAGATTCTGGTGAAGTCTACTGGCTTGATGGGGAAATGTGACTGGCTCAGCCCTGCTGCGTTATTTTTCTTCAGGTCTACAGTATCATCTCAGCGTAGCACCTCCATCGCATTCTCTGCCCAGCTCAACAGTGACAATATCTTCACTTTCTAGCACAGAATGGGATCGATGTGTTCAAGCTGTATTCCACTCCAGCTGTTGCCAGCAGAGCGCTGTCATTACCTTCTTGCGTCTGTTGCCAGGTGAGGGGGGGCCTTTTCCACTTGGAGCAAACACACGCAGTAACAGTGACGGCAATGACGTGTGCCTCTGAGTGGGAAAACAAGTCCCCAAGTGCACTGTGTGACCATTTTTGGGGGTTGGACCCAATGATCTCTGGAGGTCCCTTCCTACCTCTGTGATTCTGTGATTTCTCCCTTCTACACACAATATTTCTGCCTCTGGATGTTACCTTCCTCATGCTAAAACCGTGTGTGTGTGGTGGGGAGGAATTCAGGTGCCGCTGAACGTTTTTGAGCTGAAACAAACCCTGGGTTTTTGACAGTATCGTGATTCACAAAGGGAAACAGTGACTTTGATAGATGTCAGATTGGGGACAGAACTCCGCAACAGGAACTGAGTGTTTCAGTGTGGTGTAATGTCAAAGTTACTGCTATCGGTTGTGTGCAGGCAGACGATAAAGTCCACACTGGGTGACTTGGTATCTAACTTGCTCTTCGTTATGTTTCTCAAGAATAGGAGAGGGCCATGGAGGAATGTGAATGAATATACTCTGATGCAAGGTCATACAAGTGTATTGTGCTAATGTCACATTTTCTGGGACCAAACCCTGCTGGAGCCACAGGTGAGACCTTCTTTGACTCCAGCTTTGGCTCAGACACGCTTTTCTTCAGATAATGAGTAAAATTCTGGTTCTGATCTCCATTTCGCCATTGACTTCAAGAGGATGAGGGCTGCACTTAGTTTTTCTTAAGCTACGCGGGGATGTTCATCTGATAGTGGGAAAAGCCTCATTCAACTGCAGCACAAATTAGGTAAACGAGCTGTGACTTCGGGGTGTGACCTGGAGGTGGGCATGGTAGGGGGCCTCTTTCTGCCTAAATCCCTCGAGCAACCTCCAAACATAGAGATGTATGTGTTGGCACTGTAAGTTTCAACTTCTGAGTTAAAACAGCCCCTCCGTGGTACCTCTGGCAGTGGCTGGTGGGTATGTTGCTCCTGACTCCAGGCAAAAACACCTGGCTGTTGAGTGCTTGTGTGCGGCTTGGGAGGGATGGAGAAGGCAGGTGGTTATCAGTGGCCCCACAGCTGCTGTTAGATTTCTCCCCATGGTGAGGCAGAGCTCACTATTGACCAACCTCCATTTTCATTAACTCCAGAAGCTGGCAGAGTACACTGAATAATTCAAGAGAGACATGTTTAAACATTTGCACAAGCCTCAGATTCCTCCTGGCTAAAAATAAGCCTGTGAGAAAGAAAACGATTCTCATTCGAGGTGCCAGCAGATGGGCAGCAGAGGCACAGACCCCATCCCAACACCATCATGTCGCTGCTCCCAAGGGGAACATTGGCCGTAGGGTTTATCCCCACTGCTGGGGCCAGCCTGAAGGTGGTGCAAAGCAAAGATACGAACTCACAGATGCCCTTTGAGGTCAGCATTTTGGAGCACCCGAGCAGAAGTGGTTCTTCCACAGGGAGAGATCTGTGCCTTTCCCACCGTAGCTGAGCACCAATGGGCAAAGCCAGCGTGCCAGGCTCCGTTCTGATGTTCTACTGAGCGCCTGAGATTGCTTGCCAGTGTGGTGCACTTCATGTATAAAATATATTGGCTTCGTGTCCCCAGGGTGACAAAAAATGTACTGAGTTCTTTTTTGGAAAAACTTCCATTGTATGCAGAACGACAGCTTCTCAGGGCAGCCTGTGATGCTGCCTCACCAGCAGCCAAAGCCTCGCTGCATTCTGGGGTTAAATGCAGTGCTCCGGGGGACTCTAGAAATTAAAGCCCCCAGAGGTTATTGTTAATAAAACCTAATTAAATTTGGATGTAAATGTAGCGTGCTGTTGCATTTGCATCTGGCTTTTGGTGGTTTACGTGTATATGTATGTGAATTATATAAGCAAGCATACTTGTAAGCATGCAAACAAGCATCTGTGCATAAACAGGTGCTTCTGAACTCTGGTGGTGTGGCTGCAGTGTGCCAGCACCTAACTCATGGAATCACAGCATGGCCTGGGGTGCACAGGAGCACAACGCTCATCAGTTCCAACCCCTGCTGTGTGCAGGTCACCAACCAGCAGCCCAGGCTGCCCAGAGCCACATCCAGCCTGGCCTTGGATGCCTGCAGGGATGGGGCATCCACAGCCTCCTTGGGCAGCCTGTGCCAGTGCCTCACCACCCTTTGCATGAAAGTCATCCCTTTGGAGATGGCCATGCTGGGACATTGAGATGTGAAGGAATCTCTTCCCCCAAAACTGAGACACTTAGAAACCCTAATTAGCTTGATAAATAACAAAAAAGAAGGAAGCTGAGGACAACACTTAGAAGTTGTTAATGATGAAGAAACAATTCACACGTTCCGTTTGTCTCAAAACAAATTCTCTCTTGTTTTCCAAGCAGAGACAAGTGCTCTGTAAGCAGCGTCGCAGTCACTTTTTTGCTCGTGTTATGTGAGCACAGGAAGTTTCAGATAAATTCAGCAGCAGATCAGATGAAAGGACTCGTGCACTCACATATCTATTTACACAGCCCCCGTGGCAAGTCACAGCCCATTGCTGCAGTGCTGGGGGGCCTCGTGATCATCAAGGTATTGCACAGCCATGCTGGGTGGCACTTTATGGGAAGCTTTGCAGGCAGGATGTATTTCTTTTGGAAAAAAAAAAAAAAATATATATATATATATTTTTTAAAGTAAATTTTCATTTGAGCAGCACTGAACATAGCCTGATGCTCTGCAGGAGCACGGGTGATTAGTGCTGGAATACTTTGCAGTACAGATGCAATGTAAGCAGCCCATTTTCCACCTTGCGCAGCTCCTGTGGCTTCACGGCCTCCTCCTGATGTTCGCCAGCACACAGGAGAAGAAACAGCCCTGGATATACTGCTGAGAAACAGGCTGCTGACAGACTGAGACCACTGAGATGGTGTTAAATCACGTTTATGTAAAGGTCCAGGCCATTCCAAGCTGACGGCGTCCGTGATTTAAAGCACTTTACCGTACGCAGGGCCACTTGCTGTAGCCTGAAATGTCATGAAAGCAAAAGAAAGAAAAGCTTTTAAAACGTTTATACTGTTTGAGATCGTGTGAAAACATCACCTTTTCTAAAGAAAAATGATGGCAAGGTGAAGTTTGACTTCTGAAAACTTGAAAATTGAACTGCATAACAAGCAAGCGAAGGGAAAATTTGTATGTAGCTGCCTGCCCTCTTCTGTTAGAAATAATTTGTTTGAATTTCATTTCATTTTTAATTCACAAATACCAAGAAAGAGCAGCCCTGTTGTCTGTATATTACTGTAATTCTTTTTTTCTTGGAGGACGTCAGTGCTTCCTGGAAACTGCAAAATAAAGCAATAAGGGAGATAATTAGTGATTCTTCTGACCTGTCACTCCAACCCAGCGCAGTCCTTGCAGGGTGAGGGAAAATTGCTTTGCTTCAAAGGCCTTTTCTGCAGCTCTCTGCAAGCCTGTTCTCCTTATAGACGCGAAAGCTACAAATGTATCTGATTGCTTCCACAAAGAAAACGACTTGAAATGTTTCAATACAAAATTACATCATTCTCATAGGATGGGATGCTGCGGTGAACGCAGGCTGGAGGGTTGGAGCATTTAGCCTGCTTTCCCAAGCAAATAGGTTTCTGAAACTGCTGTCAGTCAGTCGGTCTGTCTGTCTGTCCTCACTGATGACTTTTGAACTTGACAGTCACTTCCAGTCAGCTTAGCAGTGAGACAGAGGTGTTGAAATACTAAATTCCTAATTAGTGAAGTTGATAGCTGGAAAAGAGCAGAGAGACGGAAATCTGTGCTGCTCCATGTGGAAGATGGGCAGCACTGTTGTTGCGTTTGGAGGTGGCTGGAAATCCTGCTGTTATTAACATAATTTTGGACTAATTTCTAGAAGCACGTTGATTTCACCCCAATTAGGACATCACAGAACAGTCAATAGAAATCAGAAGTCAACACTGTCTTGAAACTAAGGAGAAAAAGTGAAAAGCTCACGTTGCAGGCAGAGATTAAAGACATGATTTCTCCAAGGCTCCAAGTGCCGAAGGACCCCAGCTCCGTGTGTTAAATGCAGCTGTGTGAGCATACAAGAATTAAATTCCCACTGAAGGATTCATCCCTGGGCACGGGCTCAGGCTTTGGGTGCTCATTCAGACAGTGGCAGAGGTAAAGCTGCTGCCTGAGCTGTGACCACTAAAAGCAGCCCCAGACTAAGCCCCTTATGCAATCCTTCCGTCACAGCCACCTCCTCAGCTTGGGTTTGGTTTGTAGCTCTGAGCTGGATTTAAGGACATTTGCAGCATCAACAACTGTGCTAGAAAACGAGTCCTGAATGTGGAGCATAACTAATACTGATCTGGTATGGAAACCCACCAGGAGAAACTGGTCATGCAAGGCAAAGCAGTGGGAGTGCAGCCCCAGGGAGCAGAACAGGAGAGCAAGGGAAGGTGGGGCTTCCTGAGAGCCGCGGCACAGCTGCAGAAGCTGCCAATCGCGGTCACAGATTTGCTCTCTCTCCCTCCAACCTCAGCAAAATGGGTGAGACTGACACTTTGTGCAGAGCGCTGCTAACGCAGAACCAGTGATGCGCCATGGCAGGGGAAGGTGAACGCCCTGCGATGTAATCCAAACTGCTTCCCTGGCAGCTCTGAAAGCAGGGCTGCGGAATGACCAGCTTGATTCCTCTGTGAAAGGGGAAAACAATGAACGATTATCTATCTATAGTTTGTAAACTACAACCACACGGATGCACGGTTGTGTCGTCATGTGCAATCAGCCCCTCCACCTGGCTCCGAGGTGGGAGATTAGCAAGGAGATAAGGCTGGAGGATCAGGACAGCCCAAGTGTGAGGCAGGCAGGCGGGGAGCAATGTGTGTCTGTGTCTGAACAGCCTGCAGCAGCCGGGCATTGCACACCCACGTGCTGTGGGTGCATGAGAAGACTTTGACAAAAAGATGCTATCAGCTTGCTCTGATTAAACTGACATGAATTACGTGGAACTGCCGTTTTGTCAGAAGATGTCACATTTACCAGGGCTAGCTTCTTTTATTTTTTTAATGAATAATTTGTCTATTAGGACCGTTCTCCCAAAGTGCAGCAGTGGATTGGTTCTTTTCCCAGAAGGTAATGCCAAATATGTGCGTGCACATGGCAAGGGGGAATGGTTCTCTTACTGACACGACTTCCATGCATACCATTTGCTGTGAGTTTGAGGGTCTGAAACCACAACGAAGAAACCCATTTATTTTCTGTGCACTGGGGAGAAAGGTGGAGACAGGACAAGGGGAAACGGCCAGAAACTGCAGCATAGGAAGTTCCACACCAATGTGCACAAGAACTTCTTTACAGTGAGGTGACGGAGCACTGGAACAGGCTGCCCAGGGAGGTGGTGGAGTCTCCTTCTCTGGAGATGTTCAAGACCTGCCTGGATGCCGACCTGTGCGACCTGCTGTAGGGAACCTGCTTTGGCAGGGGGTTGGACTCGATGATCTCTGGAGGTCCCTTCCAACCCCTACAGTTCTGTGATTCTGTGTGCAAACACTGAAACACCGAAGCACCGTGTCTGCATGTCTGTGCAGAGATAGGATGGGTTTTAGAGCTCACATACACGCAGATCCTGTGCCATAACTGGAAGATACGGAGCTCCGAGAGTGCAGGCATGCTCCGCTTTGGGCTTTTCAGTTGGGATTAGGGAAGAAACACGCAAAGCTGAGATGGAAGCCAGCACACCCTGAGGCCGAGCAGTGACAAACAGGTTGCCTATTAGGAGAAATGTCTTCTCCAGATCACGGTGAGGCACCGGCACAGCACGACCAGAGCGTTGGGGGGTTGGATCACCATCCCTGGGGGTGTTCCAGAGCTGTGCGGATGTGGCGCTGAGAGGCGCGGGCAGCGGGCGCTGGGATGTAGGCTGGGGTTGGGCTCGGGCCGCTCGGAGGGCTTCTCCAATCTCAATGACTCCGAGATTCTGTCACTAAACTCAAGCCAACACGCAGCCCCACCGGCTGCCCCGTGCCGCACGGCAGCCCCATCCCGGCCCCCGCGGGCAGCAAATGGCGGCGCGCGGCCGCATCCCCCCCCCCTCCGGCCCTGCTGTGGGAGGCGGGCGCAGCCACGCACCGCCCCCGGGCGGGCTCAGCCCGGCGCATGCTCCGCGGGCGGTCCTCTGCCGCCGTGCCGGACCGCCGCCCTGCCGCTGCCGAGCTCTGCGGGCTCCGCTCCCGCTGACCCCGGGCCGCGCCGTCCCTCGGCCCTTTGGGGCGAGCGGCTGAGGGGTACGGCCGCCCGAGGTGTGACGGCAAGCGGTGAGTAGAGCCGGAGGGGAATCCGCGGGCCTCGCGTGGAGGAGGGGGTGGTGGTGGTGCTGGTGGTGGAGGGGCGGCGCGGCGGCGGCTTTTCCCCCCCGTGGGGGTGCCGGGAGATGGCGGCGGGCGGCGGGGCGGCGCGGGGATCCCCTGGAGCACCTTCAGGGCCACCGGGCAGAAGGGGGCGGCCGGGGAGGGGGAGGGGAGCGGCGGTGGGCCCCGCTGGGTTCGGCCCCGCTGCACGAGCTGCGTTGGAGCGGTGGAGGAAGTGGGGCGGTGTTGGGAGAGGAGCGGATGGGGTGAACTCGGCGCCGGGGCTGAGCGCTGAGTCAAGCTGAAAAAGCCGGGCGCTCCTCCTGCTCGGATCCCCCCGAGCTCACGGCGGGACTCGGAGCGGAGTTCCCCGCAGATATCCCTGCGTTATCTTCTGTGTGAGCTCAGGGCTTGGGCCGGCAGATCCGGCCCGGCTATCGGTCTGGCTCCCGTGCCGGAGATAGAGGCGCTTCTTGGACGTCTGTCAAACCCCTCCCCGCGGTGCTGCTTCCCCGCCGTCCCGCTGTGTGTCTGTGCGGTTCGGGCCGTCCCGTCGAGTTGGGGGTCGGAAAAAGACGTGTGGGGAGCTCTTATACAGGGAGAACCGGGAAACAAGGAGCCGAATGCCAACCCCACCGCTGGGCCGTTCCTGTTGGAAGCAGGACCGCATGGTCGTGGCAGGAGAGGCCGGGCCCAGCTTTGCTGAAATAAACCTCGTGTCCGTGCT